AAAGTGTCTCGTTATAAAAATCGTAAAAATGGTTAATTTTAGACTTTGTTAAGCTATGATTACAACAATATTATTAAATCTAGTAATATAAAATTATATATCAGTGTAATTTTAAATTTTATGAAACGAGGCTGGTTTGAAATAAATGTAGTTTTTGACAAGATGGTAAAACATTACTTTATAAATACAATGTTACAGTTTTAATCTAGGTGTGTTTTGGTTATGTCAGCTATTTTTTCGACAACAATGAGTTACAGGAAGTCAATTTTTTAAATTATTTAATGATATTAAACATAATGAGTATTGAGGAATATTATTTTCTTAGGATACTGAAAATTGAAGAACTAGAAAAGGTATGTGACTCGGAACATTTTTTTGAATCAAGTTTAGTTTTTTTTATTTACCAATTACAAAAATTTCTAAGAATGCAAAACAGAAAACATTTTTAAATAAATATAAAAACGCTAGTTACATTTCGTGTTTTAGCATGCATGTTTTTTTATTTTCTATTTTGAAAAAGCAGCCCATATTGACTTTTGTTGCATTTTTATGATTGCTAGGTACTAACAGGCCAATATTTTATTTGTTTGGTAGATATTTTAATATATTTTTAATTTCGTCGTGTCATTGATACAAAGATTTGGAAGAATGTTTGATCGCTAGTTTCTGGCCAGAGAGTTTAAGTTAGAGCGGGCGTCTGCAATGTTTCATAGTTGTGTAAGTTTGTCGGATGTGCATTAACTAAGAAATAAGGGTAATATAAATATTGTTCGGAACAACACGGTGCCAAACAACAGACGCGCCCGACAAAGAAGACGGGATGAAAGTGACAGGAGGCAAGCTTAACGTCAAACCAAACAAAATTAAACAAAACTTTTCCTCTTAGGCAACGTGCTGGTAAGACTCCGGCTCTAGTCGTGCCGGAAAACTTTTCGTGTTTAAGTTTTTCTTCCGCTTGCCCGAGTCTAAGGCCCGCTTTCCCCAAAACAGCGACAAATTATAATATTGATGCGGCTCTACCTGAGTGCAACATTGCACGTCACCGGAACTAAGCCCTTAAAAGTATGAACAGGTATTTACGGTACGTGTATGTAAGCTGTTGGGGTTACGTGACGATCCGAATAAGGCAGACACGCGTAAACAAAGCACATGCTTTCTCCCACCTGATCGTCCGGAACGGAACCGGTTTCAACCAGTTACGCCTTCTCGTCAACAGGGGGAAACAACCAACTTTTCTACTTTATCACAGCGCAAACAATACTCTAGTCAGAAGTTTTGAAAATCTCCAATTATAGCCGCCGCACATTTCATTCTCAATAAATAAACAATCCAACTATAACCCGTTGTAAAAACGGCTTAGCGCTATAGTCCCTCTTCTCGAGTAATTCGGTTAGGTCTAAAGCCTGGATTGGTAGTCCACTTCACCCTTGCAATAACATGCCATTTTTCTATTACAGAAAATATAAGTAAACATTTGATGGTGTGTGCATCCCGTTAGCAATGCAAACAGTCACACTCTTCTAGATTGTTTATTTTGCGAAGAAAGAAATAACACCATCCAACAGGAATTTTTTATCGCCAAGCTAAGCAAAGAACTTCTCATCTAATCTTCATAAATTATACGGCACAATATCAACATCCTGTTTTTATTTTTTTCTTTAAATGGCGATACACAAAATCAATTCTTTAGATTTAAATTCCAACTGGAAGGAGATCATCCAAACGAGATAAATTCAGGCCATCAGGACCATTGCTCTACAAACATTATCGATTCAAATGTTTGCACAAGACCACTTTCATCTCTTTATTTTCAATAGAGACAGCAGAGCAGACAAAATCATTATTAATAATTTCAATAAAATATTCATTTAAACAAAACGTTCAAATTTCATTTAACTTAAAAAGAACTTTACACATAATAGGATAACTTACAGAAATATTCAAAGCAGATTAATCACGTCTTTGAACGTTAATTAGTAAAACTTGTAAAAGATTACAGTTTTCCCAAGTTTTTTATTGTTATATTGGCAGATAAAGTGTTAAGTTCATTGGTTCGTCAAATAATTTAAAACGTATTGGATTTCATTTAAAAATTCAGTGTATTTTTTTAACGTTAGGATATTCGAGTAGTTAAAGGGGAAATCAAATTACAGTCGAGATAATATTTGTTTTTGTTGGAGCTTCAACAAAAGTAACAACTAGTTGTTAGATTCTACTTTTACGTTTTAGTTTTTTTTTTATCAAAATGACATTTAATACTTAACGAGACGATAGTCCTATTTCATAATATTATAAGTGTCTTTCCAAACTGTTTTTCCACATCATGGACTTTATCATAAAAGAAATACATATCATAAAATTTTAAAAACATTATTGTGGTTTAGAACAAACAATTAACTGTTTTTGTTTATTATTAACGTTAACGATCAATTTATAAAAAACAAATCTTGCCCCGGCGCATCCACCAAAATTGAATTAGCCTCAAACAGGAGACTTTGTGCCGATTAAAATTTATTTATTTTATTTACAAATAACGGTTTTATAGCAATACAGTTTTAATTAAGAATTTAATTTATGCTGCTTTTAAGCCAATTCAATTATGAACTGCTCACATTTAATTTATGTTGGCCATTTTGTAAGCAAGTGTTGAGTCGAGCAATAAATCGTAATAGATTGTGGGATTTATGAGAGAGTTAAGCTATTGCACTGTCAACAATCATACAATAGTCAATTTTTCTTTTATGAAAACTTTACCAGCGCATTTATTAAAAGCTCAAGGGAGTATTTTGTGAATGGATCTCAGATGCGCTTCCCCGACTAATTTAAAATAATTATTTTACAATAAATCAACTTTTTCCTAATGTAGTTAAAATGATTTTTTAGCTTGACAGTTCGAAGCTCTAATGTAAACTAAGCTCTAGTATCAATTTGTAGAATGAGAGTGCACACTACGGACTATAAATTATAGTAAATAAACATTCATCACTTTGTATTTTAACAAATGCTTGATACGTAAATCATACCAACAAATCTAAATGTACTACATGAAGGCAATCGATGTATATATGGATTAAACCATACTTTTATCATACATGGCAATTAGCTGAAAACGTCCGATACTTTCCGATGTTACGTTTTTGTAAACGATCTTGACTTAATCTAGAGAGAAGTAAGAAATATATTGAGAAGTTTCTTGAAACTTCAGAGAAAGTTTGCGATCATTTGTTGTGTTTGCTTGTGGGAGATTGTTGTAGAACAATCTGATTTGGTAAACGTGATAGATCTTTTTTATAAGAATTGATAATATGACGACATTACAAGAAAAACATTACAACATTGTCGTTATCATCTTTTTAGTGACAATAAACTTCGAAGGGTTTTTATCAAACAATGCAGCCATAAAACAGACTATATTATCAAATTATTGTTCACACGTTATCAATATGTTCACGTTTGAATTTCTTTATCACTAACTGTAAATTATCACCAAGAAATTGTCTTGTTGATTTAAATTACTGACGATTTATTGTAACTCCAATTATATTTTCAATTAAATTGAAATTCAGTGACATTAAATGTTTATAATCGCATCAATATAAACGATAGTCATTATTAAAATACGTGTTATATTTATATCAAAAAGTGAATAAACAAATCTGAAAATAACAAACAACTTTAGTGTGCTAGTTTTAATTTGCAAGTAAAAATGTGAATATTTGGTGCGTGTTTTATTATGGCCAACTTCTGGAAAGAACAGGTGTTCTGGTGCCGTATCTGTTGAGCAAAGTGAACGTTACTGTTGACATAAAGCTTTAAAACAAAATGTTAAATACAAAAATGGTTTAGAATATTAATCTGCATCACAGACGCATCAACAATGAGAAGTGTTTTAAAATGCGAAACATTTTTAACAATGTATTTAACCAAGTTACTTTACTCTTGTTGGGTATATGTAAAATTATCAACATATAGAAGCAAAACATTAAAAAAGGGTTTATGTAAAATATTTGCTGCTTATTATTATTTAAAGCTCGAAGCAAACATTTTTTTTGTTGACATCTGTGAGATAATAAGTAAGTTTTAGTAAGTAGGTGTGGAATGAATGGAAGTACAAAAAGCTTCACATTTATTTTGAATTAATTGTAAAGCAACAGCGTATATAAATGGCGAATTGCTTGGAGGAAAATTAATTAGTGTAATGGGGATGGATAATGTAATCCTTCTTATTCAAATTTTTTTTTAGTATACTCTAGCCAATCCGATTAATAATATTAATGTTTACTACTAGGAGAATGCCAGAAGTTATGCCAAACATAATTTTTTAATTTCATTGAAATTTTTGACGCCCTGCCTTATTTACGCGTTACGTACACACTAAACAAACATTTGTCCATGACTTGCAAAAGTTTAGTTGTTTACATTTCTTCTTAATTCGTATTGCGTCATATTTACGATATAAAATTTACGATCTTCTTAAAATATTTATTTTACTGCTATTTATATTTTTTTATAAAACTTTATAACATCGTCTCACACAATTTACAAACTACAAGCAAAATACATTACGCTTTTTTATATATTTTATACATGATGTTCACAAAAAAGTTTCTTGATCTTAATTTTTTAAATATGTTTGATGTAGCAATAATGTATACATACTGTATTATGAGTAGTATAGGGTGTGTTGTAGTAGTGAGCAAATGATAATATAATAATGTTAGCACGAGATGTTGATTTGGCAATTTGTTGTACTGAAGGTGTTCGTATGAGTAATAATGTTGGTAGTTTATTAAAATAGTTGATATGCGACGGTTTGGTTGTAGTTTAGGGTTGCGGTGGTATATTTGTCGGTGGAATTAATTAATAATTAAATTTTAACATCCAAGGAGCGTTGAGGTAGTAAGAGAGCTTCGAGTTTCCTTATCTTGCTTAAATATTCTAAGTGATTGTTATGCATGTCATGTATGAGGATTATTATAATATGTGATGATATGTTGCAGCAGGAGTTTCTGGCTTCGAGCCGGACTTTCTCTACCCGTTGGAGAACATCACGGTACCTCAGGGGCGCGACGCCACCTTCACCTGCGTGGTAAATAATCTGGGGGGATACAGGGTGAGTGGGGATCTCGCCACAGCCAGGGTGTGTATCTATACTACTATACTAATGCACCCATGTGACCGCAATTTGACTGCAGATCTGTATACAGCGGTCAGATTGCGGACCGCACCCCATATGCACCGAGCACTGCACCCGCACGCCACTACAGCACTGAGCACCAGCACAACGATAGCACCTTGCACAGTTGCTCGTTCACCCTCGAGTCCTCGCATAAACCCTCGTTGCTCCACGCCAATATTCTTAACTGTCACACAAAATTTTCATTCTAGTGCAGACCGGATTTGATGAAGATTTTACAACAAAACTCTTAAAAAATTAACACACCCCACCCGTTAGGATAAGAATCTCTCAATTGAATGTTTCAGAAAAATAAAAATTGACTGAACTTTTGGAGTTTGGGAGTTACATACAAGATGTGTCGGAAGTCGCGAACAGACTTTGGTTTCTAATTGATTCCAAAATGCCGTTAGGTAGTTGTGAATTTATAAAACGCCAAAATGCCACTAGCATAGCTGCAAAAAGATAATAACTGAATAGTTGCGAATTTGTATTTGCGGTGTAATAATATGATTAAAGAGCCTTTAATAGCTTTTAACGGTTTATGTTTATTGTTGATTGGACAATGCAAAGGTTTTTAGGTCGTTGTTTGCAATGTGGATTTTATTTGACTGGGAAAATTAGAATAAATATAAAACAGTGATGTGTTTTAATAGTTTTTGTCACTAATAAAAAACATTAGATTGTGTTCATCGATTTGCATTTGTTTGAAACAAGATCAGAAATACAGTTGTTTGAAATTGCACAAGACTTTAATGGATTTGCCCTCACAGACGTAAAGAACAGGTGAATCTTCCACAAATATTCAGCAATTGCAATCCTTTAGATATTTCGATCAGAGAATCGATGTATATCAATAGAATTTTATCGTGTACAAAATAAATCTCAGAAAAGCCGAGGTTAGGTAGATATGCAGAAATGCCAGTTTGTAATACTCGTAGAAATATTAAACGAAACGTCCTCTGCCTGACTACAAATAATGCATTCGATCTCTAAACTCATGATCTGTAAAAGTTTATCTCGGTTTATCTCGTTTTACGCTACTAAAAGTGCTTAGAAAATGAGATTTGACTTCAAATTTTGTAAGAAATATAAAATACAAATTTTTACTATATTATACATTTTACAAAACAAAAAAATCATTTAATTGGGTTTAAATGAAGTATAGATTGATCTGCTTTAAAAAGCTTTAGATTTCTGAACATGTAAATTATGAAAATATCACGTTCTTGGAAAAATTTTTGAAAGAAGCAATTTTGAATTTGTAGCTAATGTTTAAATATTTGCAAATTTAGTTTTTGTGTTTCCATAAATATTTATTCATAAATAAACATGAGCAAATAGTACTTTGCAAATTTTTATTCAATTCGCTCTAAAGGGGATGTCTCTATCATCATTTATTAGCAGAATATTTTAAATTTTTGTGCTTTAAGCCGGAGGTGAACATTTTTTGGTTTGCAGTTTGGTGTAGTGCGTTTAATTTTTAGCTGCCGAAAAATATAGTGAAGATACTTGTAATAGGTTAGTTAGTTTGAAACGTGCAAGGAATAAGATAGCTGTGACGGCGTTCAGCTTCATCAAGGATTACTTTTGACACAATACGATTGGTTGAACACAGATCACAAGTTTGTTTACGAAGTTCGGCAACGGTGGGCGAATTGTAAATCATTCAAAATGCAGACCAGATTGAGCATCGTGAATTTTTGTTGATTTACGCGATTTGCAATATTTCTGGAATATTGGTGGTACTATAATAACTGATATTGCTACAGTTCAGTGTCACCGATTTATGATTTGCGATCGATAAAAAGCCGTTATGCGCTCGAATAATAACAGGAGGGATGCAAACATTAATTAGGATTTCTGGAGTTTGGGTAATGTGTTTGTCAGAGTGGGGATATAAAATTTTCTTTAAATGTTTAAGCGGCCATTATTTAGTTTACCGCGGCAGATCTAAAACTAGTGTCTGACCCGTCTGACCAAACAATGGCGTGGATTAATTGCTAGATCAGCAATATCTCGGCACAGGGAATGTCCTGCGAAAGGACGACCTCGAGCCCCAAACACGCTTCTAACACGGACATTTGTAGCGGAATTATGCTTTCCATTATACAACCATCTTGGTGCGAACTCTGGTAATCCTTCTGTTTCTCTAGATAATGAAATATGCAATTGTGTTTAGCACACAATAGTTGATGCGCGGGGTGTTAAAACGGCTTAACTGCAAAGGCCAGAATTCACTATGGGTGCTGTTTGCTGCCATATCTCTAATTTCAATTCACTTTCGCCGTGAACGACCTATAGGATTTGATGTTATCGGGAGTCTATCGGCTGCATGTGACATGGTTGCGAGGTCACGGCCCGGGACCAACTGCGGGACCGTTAGCTTTCATATGCAAACAAGATTGCCATTATTCACCTTCGACGCCAGTCGCATCAGATCTGGTAAACACTTATCTAAAAGGGGAAATGCAGGACCAACACCATAACTCATGGATTAAAATCATAACACTTATGCAGTATTGATTGTCTGTATGCCATTATCATTACCTAGTTCCCCTCAAATGCACACTGCCTTTATAGCAAATTTTAATTAAATGCCATAAACATATCAGTATCTGCCACAACGTCCATACTACCTTAAAACTTTTCAGTCTTCATTCAAAAACCGGTTGCATCCGGAAAAGAGAAACATCTGTTTATAAATACATTCGCAGATTGTAGCTCAAAATTAATATTTGAGTCTCAAACTAACTCCTGAATTCGGTATAATCCAGTGTGATTACCAATCGTCTGCTTCGCTCCATATTTGATTAAGCGTATTTTCCTCTGTTAATACGTGAAGTAGGTAGTGATTTAAAATTTCTAGAGGTAGAACAATACATTTGTTAGCTGTGACATTTTGATTGTCTTGTTTAGCGATGATTAATATTGAGGTCTTACAAGTAAAAATGGGAGGAGTTGCCGAAGAACGAAATTTGATTGAAAACACAATTCCTAATAAAATTCTGGGGATTGGTATGCGGCCTGAAATTTGCTAGAAATACTTGAGCGATGTTTTCATTTTGTATAAAATCAATTTAATCTTATTTTTGTCTTGAAATTTAATTACTTTAATCTAGATTCTAGAATGTGTAAAAAATGTTGAAATTAGTTTTCGTCAAATAGAAAATTAGAGAGTTAGAAAAATTCCGAGTAAATTTAATAAAGTTGGGGCCGTTCAAATTAATGCCTCGTTTTGTAAAATCTCTTTTATGCAGATGAAGGATAAGGGGAGTGTTTAGTGTTCTACCGCATTATCAACTTTTACTTAGGTAGTATACATAAACATGTAATTGTAATAAAGTAAGTTGGGTTTTAATGCAAATTGGTTGAGTAACATCTAAGATTTCTTTTGGTTGACGAAAAATTAAATATATATATAAAGAATGTCTAAAATTGAATTTTCCACGAAAATAATTAACGAAATTTATAAATGCTACTTTGTAGTCTGGAGAAACGGTAAAATATAATTTAATTTAAATATGCAAACAAAACATTAAACTTTATAAACGAGAGCTGATGTTTAAGGACAGTATACATCTTAGATTTAATTAATATTTTTTTTATTACTTTGCTTTATCATTTAAGTTATGACAACCCTGACATAAATCAAACAATTTTTTCATTCAGTATTAATGCTGCTAAATAATGTGGCAATACAACAGCATTCACGGGCTTTAAATTTTAAAATTCAAATAAATCCACAAATTACAAACAATTTGATGAGCTATACCACCGGCCAGACATTAACTATTAACGAGTTAAATTACATTTATAATTTTAAAAACGGTGCTAAAACCTGAACCACAGTCGTAGCTTTACAAAATTCAATTTGTACTAGCGAAGCGTATTCATAAAATCTATTTTGGTTTTCCACATCGTTCACGGCAGATTTAATTTAGATGCAAGAGAAGTGTTATTTTCTGTTTGAACAAATATTGTTTTATAATTAGTGTTCAACCACTTATGTATCATTTTCTTCAATTAGCAAAAATCAAAAACAACATCTACACAAACGTATGTTTGGTCCTATTACCCGACTAGTGTAATTTGTAACGAACATTTCACAATCTTAAACTTGGCGTAAGCAACGGAGGTCTGTGGGGTTGGTGTGTAATTAGTTTTAATTACGTTAAATCAGGTAAAAATTACAAAGTGAGGTAAAATTTATTATGCATAAATGTTTTCTTCTGTTAATTGCGTACAGACACAGAAGAGAATATTCAACTTCACATTAGATTAATATGTATTATGTTTCTTCTTTGCTATTTATGGTTATTGTTATTGCACAGTTTTAATCTAGGGATAACTTCCAGAACAACGGTTTATTTTTGTGTGCAAAGATAATGTTTTTCGACTTTTGTTTTTTTCTTTCAAAATAAATAAAATGAAATCATATTAAAGCGTATTTACCACAACTGTTCACAATTCATTTTGGATCAGGTCGCGTGGATAAAAGCGGACACCAAGGCAATATTAGCCATCCATGAGCACGTTATTACCAACAACGCACGATTATCTGTAACACACAACGATTTCAACACATGGACGTTGAATATACGGAACGTTAAGAGAGAAGACCGGGGGCAGTATATGTGCCAAGTAAATACTGACCCTATGAAAATGCAGGTGAGTATAGCCTTTTTATCATTTTGACTCAAAAATGCCTCAAAATGATTATTAAAAAAAAATTATCAATAGAAACTATTGGATTTTGTAAATCTGAAATTTCTATTTCAACTTTTGTTGATATTTTGTCGGATGCATTAGTGAGTTGATGAGTTGAAGGATACTACTAGTCAATATTTCAGTTTCCAAACATAATACTGCTATACTAATAACATAGTTTCTAATTGAAGGACTCGGTGCAAAATCTTGTCAACTCCATTTTAAGGCAAAATGAATTTGGCTCTATTAAAGAAATACTCTTTAAACTAAAATGATTTTTAATTTTAACTAAATATCTTAAGACAACAAATATCTATTCTAATTTGTTAAATTTTAAAACAGTAATTAGTTATATATTCAGGTAAGTTTACAAAATATAGTTTGGTATGGTTTAATTAAACATTAGACCAAATTAATTTTACATATCAATAACCAACAATTGGCAGTGTTTCAGTAATTGCATTGTGTCACTTGGTATACACTGAACAAAATTTTCTATGCGAATTTCACATTTATAACATCGATTTTATCTCTTAATATAAAATGATGTGTTTGTTGAGTGTCATATGTAACATGTATGAAATGATTTGGCTGTGTTTGTTTCATTTTTGCAGTATGATAATATGATAATGAAAGTTTAAAAATAATTTTAAGCAAAAGCAAGTGAAACTAAACGGCGTGTGCCTAAAATTGCGCCAAATATCTGTCAGTTAACTGAAAGAATATCGGAAGAAATCCACTTACGGTCAAACTGTCTGTCAATCAGTTTGATCGGATAATCTGATCGATGTGCCGAAATTGCTTTAAATGTCTGTTAATGGTTTAAAATCAGTTAATTTGGAAAGAATATCTGTTACATGTTTCTGCTGTGATTCAATGTTTTAGCCTGACAATTGTGCTATGAATTATTCCGTCAGAATCGATAAGGAAGGGATGGAAATCAGATCAAACGAAGCATGCCGAGTTAGCTATCTAAGCTAAGGAAGTTAATTAAATGTGAAACCGTATTCACTAACCATAAGTGCTTCGAATTAGCGCCAACAAGTAGCGTTTGTTGAAAATAATTAAACAATTGTTTTTTGGTAACTTTAGTGTAAATTGATTTATAAAAGTTCACTTCAAGTTAATCGAAGACCACGTTTCGCTTCAAACTTACCGAAACAGTTTAAAAACGTTGATGGAAAAATTCTTATTTTTTGCGTGTTTTATATTTCCGAAGTTTAGTTTGAATCTTGTGATCATAGGATGCGCTTCCTTATAGGATCCAAAGAAATTGTAGTTGCTTACGAGAGGACTTCAGGGACTGTTTGAGAATTTTCCATCCAAATCCTGTCAACAAGTTTGGTGCTTGCTGTGAAATGTGAGCTCCATGCATTGTCCTACAAAGCTCTCACATTAAAATTTCTTCACATTATTAGCGCTGTTACGCACAATTTAGAGATCTTTGTTTATGGTTATGTTCTACAGGCATTACAGCTTTCCACATATTTTTGTAATAAATAATTTACATCACATTACTTCAAACATACGACTAACATCCAAAATTGCTCAGCAGTGCACTAATTAAGGATTATTCACCAAAAATAGTCGCGTGTTGAATCAGTAGTGAATCCGGAGGTGATTTGATCTGTCCTAGTGAGAATTTAATGGTAACATTAGAGTATTGTTACCGTGAAAACGTACTACAACCATTTAATGAATTGCACCTAGAGTGACAACAGGGTAAAGGATGTATGTCGCGCTGTTGCTATGCAATCTGAATATGGCTGCAGAGCAATAAATAAGTTGGTGGAGAGACATTTGCAGCGCTTAAACAATTACTTTTTAAGTTGCTACTTCCTGGCGATGCAATAAACGTGTAGTAATTGCCTGCCTTTGCAGACTGCCTTTCTAGAAGTGGTAATTCCTCCGGACATTATTTATGAAGAAACGTCGGGAGATATGATGGTACCAGAAGGTGGCTCAGCGAAGCTAGTATGCAAAGCTCGCGGTTATCCGAAACCGCATATCGTCTGGAGAAGAGAAGACGGTGGAGCTATTGTGGCGAAAAGTAGCACAGGCAGGACTGAAAGACTCACTTCAGTCGAAGGAGAAATGCTGACCCTAACTAAGGTCACAAGGTCGGAAATGGGCGCATATCTTTGCATCGCTGCCAACGGGGTCCCTCCTTCGGTCAGCAAAAGAATGATGCTTCATGTACATTGTAGGTATCTTATTTATAGAATCGATAAAAAAGTAGTCTTTTTTTAAATATATGTTTACAAAGAAGACAGGTAGTAGAAAACAATGACCAATAAAGTCATCGCAACACTTTATTTAATAAATATCCACACTTTTTGTGTTTTTCTAATTAAATGCTTAAGTTCAGTGCTTCCCTAGACAAAATTCTGAAATACATCATTAGATTTGTCGGCAATCTGGCCTGAAATTTACATTTTAGCCCGACTTTGTGATACGGACGTTTATTGCTCTTATTAAACCGAAACAAGCCCGACAGATTACTTTATCTCAAATATACACCTATGAAAAATATTTTTATAAACGTATATGATTATGTGACTTAATTTTTTGTTTACATTTTGCTTTTAAAGTGGTTAGGGAAATTAACGAGTTTAACAGATCTGTAAGAGATGAATTGTAGTAGCTGCATTAAAATAAAAACGTGTTATTTATGATACAATGAATGTTAGGATTGCTTGCAAAATAACGCAATTGTTTTCTCAATTTGTTTTATATATTTTCAGGCCAGTGCATTTTTATTTGTTGTGAAGCTTCGGCTCGAGCCAACGTTTAATGTCTAGAGGGCAAAATTTGTGGAATAAGCGCTATATTCAATTATAGTCAAAGAAACAGTACCAGATTTTCAGGCTTTAAGGGAACCATTTTCGAACTTGATAATGACAGGAATGCTGTCTTCGTTTGAGGATATTCTCTTCTATATAAAATTTGTATAGCTTGTAGAAATTAGCTTATATTTGTTTCGAGTATTTTGCGGATAAACAGGCAGATTATCGTACAAAACAGCCAAATTAGATTTGTCTCTTTATTTACTCAAAGCTTAAAAAATGAAACGTTAGTCGACCGAAAAAGTCTTAAGTTAATCCACTAAGAAAAAAAATTGGTTTATTTGGCGATTGATGAAATTGTCTGGAAAATAAATGTATGAACGAAGCTTAAATAACTTTGCTAATAATGCAATTTAAAGTTTAGCCAAAATATTTTATTTGCTGTCAATACGTGGCGATTAGTTCTCTAAGGGTATGAAGTCCGGAATTTTTTAAAACGAATCATTTTGATCGTGGAATTTAAAATTCATATAAATGCAAGTAAAGCGAGTGGGAAATTGCGTTTCAGCGTTTGACAAACAACAAGCCATTAAAAGCATAAAACGATTTAAGTATGATATGTAATTTAACCATTGTGGGCTTGTGTTTAGACTATTCAATCAATTTCAATAACAATACGATTCATCACCTGAACGTGGCGTCGTTGTGAGCTTTGCTAATTTGCTTAGATTGTACAAATAATCTTATTGTGAATATTTCATAACTTTAAACCTAATCTCCTAATCATTTATAAAGGTTAAACATCATTATTTGACGATGTGAAAAAGGCAAATAAAGTTAAACACTCGTTACGGTTTTAATCCAATTGGAAATAAAATATACAAATGCGTCGAATAAATATAACGACTTGAATGGTCTTTTAATCAAATTCAAAAAAGCAGCTAAATAAAGCGATTCCAACTAATTTGAAACCTATACAGCTAAAATTGGAAAGCTTTGTTTAGTTTTATCATAGGAATGTAGAAGTTTGCTCACAGAGCGCTCGTTGGGAATACAACAAAAACTACTTTTAGACTTCAAACATAACGTTTGCAACTTTTGAAAGAATTAGAATACATTTCAAATTCTATAGTTTTATTTATTTATTAAATTGCACAAGCACAAGAAATTGCTTTCAACTGGGTTATTTACTTTTAAAACTGACACATTAAGTTGCAGGAAATAATTTACTTTGTATTTTTCTTGAATCTAAATTTAGAGTACAACTTTTGCTAATGCAGCATGCCATGTAGTCGATTTTAAACTTAAATCTTTATCTATATCTATAGATAAACTTTTACAAGTTTTTCAACTAAAATTTAAATAAATGCAAATATGTTATGCAACGCTGCATTTAATGTGTACATAAAATTAAATATGTTATTAGCCAAATTTCACCGACATATTTTGCTAAGCAAAATGTAAAATAAGCTTTAACAAAGAAATTGTACTCGTGTCAAGTCACAGTCGAAGTGGTTATCTGAAACTAAGAAAATATTTTTCTTGGCTTTCGCGTAAATTAATAATTTTCTTTCCCATAACTCAATAAGTCTTCACTAATTGTTTCATTGTTGAGTTTTTGTACGTGAATGAGGGTTATAAAAACAATTGCCAATACTTCTTAGGTGTTTATTTTCTGTATTTATTTCGTTTCGAGTTAAGTTTGCCCAACCAATTATTATAATGGATCATTTGGTCTGCAGTGTTTTTAGTACTTATTTCACTTTCAATTTGTTTAAGTAAACAATCGGCATGAGAAATTTTGCACTTTCTAAAATTTGTTTCATAATTTGAAAAGATTTCCTTTGTAATATTTTAAACGTGGGTGTTACCTGGATTAAACCTATTTTATACAGAATGATTGAAGCAACTAGCCGCTAGCAATTTCCCTGGACGTGAGTGTTAAATACCTAAACCATGTAATATGAGCGGAAAAATGAATGAGGAAATTTCAGCAGGTTCCATTCGTAAAAAAATGTTTTTAAAACGGGGAAAATAGAATCGACTTAATTGTAAGTGCAGCAGAGAAAGGAGCTTACTACTCATGTATACATACTTTTCTCAATAACTCTTTTATTAAAATAAATTTATATTTTTGAATTCGGTTTTCAAGTCGTTCAAGCTTTGAACACGTTTATTATATTGTCCGAAAGCAAACATTGCTTGTTTCCAATTTTGAGAGAAAATACACGTGATTCAGACAACCTCCGCTTCACGGCAATCTACAGAACTTTTAAATGTTTGTTTTGAAGTTTCAGCGTTTTCACACACTTCTGCGTTGGTGTCTGACTCTCCTAGTGAATTACATACAGGTGGTTCAAAAGCAAACCTCACTTGTTGGAACCATACTACACACTTGCACCCAGATACAACCCACTTCTAAATTAGATTGTCGAAAGGGAATTGCACAGGAATCAACTCACAACTTAATACGGTGAAAGTAATACAAGTGAATAAACTGCATTACATGACGTAATTAAAAAATGGAAGAGCATTTTGGGATTGGGGCCTAAATGACATGAAACTATTTTCTGATTGTTTATTGATTCGAAAAAATTGTACTGTTACCATTTGTCAAATTCAAAACAAATCTGCAACGTACCAAAAGATTTTTTAAACGCTTTTATACACGTAAGTAGTTATTATTATAGTTGATCGTTAAAAAATTAAAATTCACCCTACAAACAATAAGAATATAATTATTTAAGGGCTGTAGAGAGGTTATGATGACACTTTAAGCTAGCGTTATGTGTTTCATTTTTTCACATATGACTAAAAGCTAAAAAACTAGCAGGTGGTGTATTTAACTACGCTAACTTGTACATAGTAATTGTAAAATTTTACAATTAAAAAAAAAAATATCAGGAACGAGTTTAAGCTCAAACACTGTGAAAAGCGAACGGATTGATTGATTTCATTTTTGAAATGTAAAATAGTTGCGAAACAATGGAACAGTAAATCTAGCTAAATGGTACTGTGTCGCCAATTGCGTGGATTTTGCGAATGGAGGATGTAATTGTGCAGTGATCTTGGGAAAAGAGGGAAAAAGGGTTGTGCATGGGAGTTGATAGAGGGTCGATGCTCGATGGTTTGATGTAACAATAAGTTAGAGGAGAGATGACATGCGGATCTGACAGTTGGGATGTTTACTATGCGGTATTGCATTTTTATTTATTTTGTTGCATAAAGGCGAGAATGAACAATTGTTTTAAAAGCTCATATGAATATGGATGCGGCGGAATGCACACGGTACAATAGCCCGGGGTAATGGGTGCGCGCTAAGTAGACAATGCCGGCTGATTATAAACATAACCATAAATACAAACGTTGGCCGACGCAACTTCAATCATTTCCCGACGTGTATGCTAAGCGCTCACAGGTTTGTACTGGTTATGCATTTACGCAATACGGGACGGCGTAATTTATGTATTACATTAAATAAATAAATGTATGAGCGTTCCGCAGTCGCAGGACGAAATGTCCGGTGCTTTCCTAATAAACTTTCTGGAATATTTAACATCTATTAATGGATTTTAGTCCGAGTAACATTTGCATCAAAAGGTATGCATAATGTATTTGTACAAACTGACATTTAGATGTAGATTTTAAAATGATTTTGTTGGGTCGTCTGTAGTTGGCGTCGATTGGTGGACGCGCCGGGCGGAAATTAATCTTGATACGTTCCAAATGATAACCGTAAATCACTATCGTATCGAATGTGACCAATATCTCACCCCTAAGTTCGTATATTGCAGTCGATTTGTAAGAAACAATGTAGTTGAGTTAAGTTTGGAAACAATTTCAATTTTTCCAGTTAAAAACCAGTCAGTTAGTCAATCAATTTGGGGCACTTGTTATCAGTTTTCAGTTCCGCTACCCGTGCCACAATATAGTGAATAATTCGATCGCGCTCCAAAGTTTTATCGTCGAGGGGAATGAATTTCAGCTATACATCTACCGCGCCGCTGTTCAGGCCGCTAAGTAAATATACTGTGTAAAGTCTGAAATTGAAAGTCATCTCTTAAGAAATGTTAGTGTAGGGTACAAGGAGGTTCCGCAACTTTCAACCCGATAAAAAGTATGAGCAGTTAGAGTTCTAGTACTTAGATTATAAAAGCTTATCACGGTCGTTATGACTCACTGGTCTTTCAGCACATCTTTCAGCCATGATATCTGTTATAGTAGGTATCCGTATCTCCCCTCGCGATGCGGGCTGCGGCTACACTCTTTGCACCTCGCTAACCCCAGTAGCGTGGCCGCGTGGCCCCGTGGCCCCGTGGCCCGCACAGGCATAATTGTCACAACACTCCATTTTCGTGCAGTTTCCGGTGGCTATTCGTAGCTTATTTCCGGCGTATTATGGGAAGGGTAGAGCACTGCGCCTGACACCGTTGACGGATGATGTAAACCCCTCTGTTGCAGTTCACCCCCTGATTCAGGTCCCCAACCAGCTAGTGGGCGCTCCGGTTAACACCGACGTCACTCTCCAATGTCACGTGGAGGCTTCACCAAAGGCAATCAACTATTGGACCAGAGAAAGCGGTAATCACGACTAACAACTAAAATTCCACTAACAACAATTTTTCTTCCCTTTTCCCTGTAGGCGAAATGATCATTTCGAACGATAAATATCATATGACCGAAATCAACAATTCTTACTATAGCGTCCAGATGAAGCTGGTTATACGCCGCTTCCACAAATCAGATCTTGGAGGCTACAAATGTATCTCCAAAAACTCGATCGGTGATGCCGAAGGCAACATTCGTCTCTATGGTAAGCCAACTTCCACTTACTTTCTGATTTACAGCTTCGAAACTATGAAATGTTGATGAGACTCACACTCGAATTGGCGACGCAATAAAATGAAATTGGATTTTTCACAAAAATCGCTAAAATTTCACTTACTACTTTTGTATCCGACCCATTTTCGACACGGCAATGTATATCTGTTAACGGTTTAAGTCAATTGCTTCTTCCACTTTTATTACCTCAACCAACACTTTTTCTTTAACTTTACACCTTAGCCAAATACTCAACAATAGACCGCCATCTTACACAAAAATTACTTCTATTCAACCACTCAGATATTTCTTCATTTGCGCCTCCGACACGAAACCAATTACACTCTAACGGCCACAATTACCATTCGACTCAAATTAAAGAAAAAGATATTTCTCAAATTTTACCTTACTACTAATATACTTCCAAATACTTTCTCATTTCCCTTATTTAACTTACTATGCACAAGTACAACGAAGGCAATATTTTCATCTGATTCAATCTTCATAGTGAAATTAATGTTAAAATGTTGGGCGTTTAATTGGCGAGAAAAGAGATTAGAAGCTTTCGTCGGCGTGTCTAGATAATGAAAGTGTCAGTTACGTATTCAGAAAATCTATTTAGCTTGCCATGCATAAATATATTCGAATATATTCAACTTTTCTAAATTCGACTAAATTAAAACACATTTACAAAAAACATAAATTATACAAACACGAAATCTATTATTCCTCCATTCTTTCATATCTATTTTTTATTTAAATAAAGTACCTGTAAAAAGCTTTTCTTGTTATTGATTTCTTTTACTTGATCATTGACAGACTTGTTTTCATAATAAGATATTTTCGATAGAAGCAGCGCATAAGCTACTACGGAAAACCAAAGTAACTAATAAAAAACCGTATATCTATTTAAAAAATTTATGGCATGTTAAAAACATGATATGGTACTTGAAGTCACGAAATCAATGTTCAACGTAGCTTCCCTTTATCTTTATGTTAGTAGCAAAGCGATTAAATTTCATATGCTGTTTCATGACACTTGATTTAATATAATAAATTATGCTTGTCTACAAAAACATGTTTTATCTAAGTCTTAATGAATATATTAATTGAAAACACAAGAGTGTGCATTAAACGACTGTACTGTTTAATACACAACTCACGCCTTCACAATCTTGATAGTAAATGAAAAGAAAGCGTAAAGTAAAAATAATTAATGTAATAAAATTATTCAGTGTTATTATAAATTATAATTATAGAATAAATTTTAAGAATGTATGTACAAGAGTTGACTGGAACTTACAAGCTTTTTGTAAGAGAATTTCAGTTTTAATCTTGACGTATTTATGTTTACAAAGTAAACGATGTAACGAATTAAAACGAAGTCTCAGGGCGAATAACAATTAGGGTTGTAATTTTATACAATACTAATTGCATTATTTGAAATTTAATTTAAATACAATAATTGTTCGTGTTCATTAGTCGTCTCACGACATACGCAACCTGTTTATTTCTTGTTTCGATTGATGGAATTTTGAGCAAAGTTTCTAATGACACGCAAAATAGGTAAAGTGAGTGAGTGAATAAATACGTGGTTGCACCAAAACTGTGCAAACACTATTTCATCTTTTGTAGCTCGTGTGAACAATATTTTTGTAACGAATTGGAAGAAGTAAAAGACTGAAAATAAAATTTGTTAGAGACGTCATGTCACGAACACAAAGCAAAATGGTGAATTTTTTACGCATTTGAATATATTTTTGTTGAAAAATAGCTATGCATTTCTGTTCTATTAGACATTATGCTAATTCAAAAAAAAAACTTTATTTTTTCTATTTGATAAAATAAAACATAAAATAAAAGGGTTTTTATTTTTCCGAATCTTGAAAAAACTTTTGATTTTCATTTGTTATTTAAAACAATTCTTGTTAGGGATTGGTTTTTGAACGGGCTTGTCCTTACGATCTAATATATCGTACACTGTACATTTGAAATTCATGCCAACATAAATTTCCACATCTCCGCTTAAAAACGATGGTGAAGGTACATTTTTGTCTTGCGCGAGAAATGCAGCATTTCAAAATTATCACGGTAATTATTTGAATCTGTATTTCCCCGAACTACAAGCAGATTTAACGATTTCGATCCATTGTTTATTTAGGAGAGAAATTTTGCCTATCGACCTTTCAATTCAAAACAAATTAAAACTTTCTACCGATTTAACTAATTTAAAATCAAACACATTGTTATACTTTGTTTTTACGTAATGTGAGAAACCAAAATGGTTGACAAAATTATTATTTTAATTATTGGTTTTGTGCAATAATTCGAATGAAAACTTGAGCAAAAAGGCTTTATTGACAGAAAACTTTTCAAAGATTGGAATCCTATTCCGATAAAAGTTAATTTTGAGACCAATACCGAAATTGTCTAAAATATTTAATACGGACTATGTTTGCAGAAATGGAGATTCAGGAGCGTGTAGATGCCGAAGACGAGAATATGGAAGAAGACGTCGAAACGGAAAATACAGAAAAGCGTCTGTATAACGGCTATCAAGGGCCACTTACTGAAACTGAAGAGAGCAGCTTGCAGCCGAATATCAGTTCCGGAAGTTCCGGGAGTACGTCGGACACGGTGTTGCGATCCGCTAGCTTTCTGTTGGTACTCTTCCTGTTGATTTGACGCTGCAGTGACGGTGCGCGGACACAGTGCAATGTGATATGTGCCAAATCTACTCGTGCTTCGCTACCTAACGCTGAGTGTCGTCTGTATTATATGAACTGTCATAGCAAATGTTAAAAGTAGCATGATAAATGTTAAGCCTCTGTTGCAATTAGACGCCTGCTAATTCGTTTACTTACATTCAAATGTATCAAACCTAAACGATCGTATATGTTCAGTAGTCGATTCTGTTCACGTTACGTTCAAACGTTTATTTACTGTTGCATAAAATGTTTATATTTAAGCTAAATAAATTGTTTCGAATTTTAATTGAATTTTATTTACTTCCCGTCCCAAACTGGAAATTGGCCCATAAACCGAAAAGCTGTCGATACTCAAATCTATAACACCAACACTCACTTTTCAAAGAAAATTCTTTCAAATACTTTCACTAATTATACTAGGTAAAACTAAATTGAAATATGTTTTTATTTTATTAATTTCACTTTCACTATACTGCACAGCATTTTTCGAGTTATTTATTAGGGTTTGAATTGTGTTCTTTTGACGATTACAATGCAGTTAATTATAAAATATAATAGTCCGAATGCGTGTTGAAATGGTCGTAACGAGTGAATTTTTTGTCGATTGATGCTGAAACAAGGAAAGAGCTAGGGTGGCCTTTTCAAAGTTTCTTATCACTAAAGCCACTAACTGCTGTACTCATTGTGCATTCCTGGCACATTTCTGATGTACCTAAATAGATCTGTGCTTTCATTAAAAGCCAGTATCTTGTTAAAGTATCGATTGGGATTTTTTCGTTGAAGAAATGACATTGAAGGACGACACATTCAGAAAATAAATAGAAATATCGACGGTTTGTTGAGACTTTGCTTGAGTAATTATTAAATTAATAGAAGAAAGCCTTGTTACTTGCATTTGTACACAACAAACGAATAAAAACCACAAGCCACGACAGGTCGTATTTTATAATTAAGTTCTATTGTTTTAATTGAATGTCATGACCAGAAAAATAACTGAAATGAAATAAGGAAATTCACACATTTCGCAAGGACGGGTCGAATTTCAACGTCTGGATAAGTACTTTTGATACGTTTTTGATGTATGAATTCTCTGTTATCTGCGTCATCAGCGTTGTCTAAGCCGATAAATTATTAGACAATAGTAATATCTTCCCTGTTTGAATTATTCCATTTGCCTATGAATGCGGCCCCATTGTTCTTAAGCATGACACAACATTGACAAGACTTAAGCCGAAATAATATCTGGTATAAACTTGAGCAGAAGTGTGTAAATATAACAGTTACACGATGTGCTTCAGTGAATTTGTCAACGGAGTTCCTCCTTCATTAATATCCGTTATTAATTTGTGAAAGTGTGTTTATGTGTATTATTGACAAACAAGGTGATGGATTCAAGCAATAAAAAGACAATAGTTTTCTATTCAGAAATATTAATTTTGGAACTAAATTTTAATTAGAGATGTAAAAGCCTACAGTTTCTTTTCCAAGAGACTCAGCCCTAAAATGTGTCACAGCAACTCATAATTAAAACGAAGTATTTTCCTTTGTTCTTCCACGACATTATCTAAATGCATCATTTCTTTTACGACTAACTAATTTTGCAATTTTCTCGAATCTTATTGTATGTTTTGCAACCGAAAGATATTCACTTTTAATTGCTAAAAATGTTATCTCAAGCCGGTAAATTCCTCCCGAGTCAATTTCACTCCTACCAATCTTTTCAAAAATAATTAGAATACTGCAGTTCAAATAACACTGAAATGGGATTCTAGTAATTATGAACGAGTTAAATTACAAACAGCTGTAATTAAAAGTGCATTTATTTCAACACAATAGGGTTAATATTTCCAGAAATTATTTAGTGAGTGATTTATATAATATGTTCTGATCAGACGAACAAAATTAGAAAGCACAGCTGCAGCATATTCGGCAAAGAACAACATAAAGTTGAAAAGAGGACTTGAACTATTTCAACTTTCTCACACAAATTCGACTTGTTTAAAGAACTTAGAAGAAACTGAGAATAATTGAGCTTACAATTTAATGTTCAGATATAAAAATACAATGTCTTTAAAGAATGTAAGATAAAGTAATATTGATTTACAAGTAGTTTGTTCGATAAAAAATATTTTTATGAAAAATCGCATTTGGTAGCAAGATCGTTGAAATTTCTCGACAGTAGCCCACCTTTTTCGAATGAACAAAAACTGTAATCTTTCATATTGATGGCTTTTAGGCGAGAGTTGAAATGTGACTATGTTTTTGTGGTTTGTTGAATAATTTCTTTCGAGTAGATGAAATTGCTTTGTGGTGTTAGAATTGGAGTAATACGAGTAGAGGGGCAAAATATTTTGTCAACAATGGCTTGGGAATGGGTGTGCGGATGTAAGTTGCGAAAATTTGCTATGTATTGGAAGACAACTAACTATATCGTTTAGTTTCTTGCGAACGTGGGATCCATGAGAATTGGAAGGGAAACAATGTAGAGTTCCCATATATTAAGCGTACGGGACGTTTGCATGCGAGTTCTCATCCATTTGCCGACCGTCAAGATTGCGAAGTCATTTGCCTCCAATTCTCCACTACACACATTCCACTATCTAAATATTCGTTAACATTTTCTATGCAAGACGCGAACGGATTTCCTGATTCCAGCACATAATAACGTGCACTTGTCTGTCTGGTCCAAGTCTCGAGATGCACATTTAAAATGGTTATCGCGATATCTACACACGGCAATAAATTTTACTTTGGAAACTTGGTTTCTGCCAGGTTTTGTGTGTAACGAGATGTTTCAAATCAACTTATAAGTTCTACGATACGTGGCCTGTGGGTTCAACTCGCAGTTTGTCATTCGCAGGAAGGAAGCATCTTGTCGTACGCCTTACCTGTTGAGTCGCATGCCTTCGATTTGTATTTGGTAATGGACCAGGCGGATATCAACCATTCAGAACGGAGTTTAGTAGCATGCCGGCCGCTCATTAGAATTACATCTGTCCGAGAGGCCATCCGGCCGCGTTTGGATCCATTAGGACTCTTTCCCGGCTTCCTGACCCCTACACTAACCGCTTTTAGTCCATCACGATCTACGCCCGCTCACCTACTCTCTTGTCTTATGCTATCAATACCACTCAGACATTTTTACCCAACACTAATTACCAATGGACCCACACAATCATCTGCTATCTAGGTTCCTCTACAGTGTTTACTGTACAGGTTGTGTCAGAATTCGCCCTCCAGAGAAAAATTTCAAGTAAGATAAGATACCGGGAACATGAAAAATATGTTTAAAAGATTCTATCTGTCAAAAAAATTGATATTTATTTTTTGACATTTGACATTATTTTATGTCTATTTAATGATACTGATGATCTTAAATATGTTTTTTTATAATTATTTAGTAAAGGTACAAAAAATTTTGCCAATAAAAGCCACAAATAACATTAAACAGAGATACAATTTAAGATACAGCTTTCTTGTTTTCTCTTCTAATAGCCTGTAGTGCAAAAAAACTTGAAAAATTATTTTTCCAACAGAAATAACTAAAGTTAAAGTGCAAAAAATAAACTTTCATAACTTCGAAATTTTTATAGAAAGAATTTTTTTAACATTTTTTCCATGTTCCTGGTATCTTACCTCACACGGCATTTTTCTCTGGGGCGCGAGTTCTGGCGCACCCTGTAGATAAAATTTTTTCCATGTTCCTGGTATCATACCGTACATGGCATTTTTCTCTGGGGCGCGAGTTCTGGCGCGTTTAAAATTACTTTCAGCTTCAACATTTTTAAATGTTCTGGGGCTACATGGCAAATATGCCGAAAGCCAACTACAGTAACAACAACATCTTTAACCATCCCAATTTAATTACAGCTTTTTCTGTGTCATTTAGTTTATATACACGTGTATATTTTGTCATTACTACTGTCAAGTTATTAACTCTTCAAAAAAGGATTATTTTAAAACCAAAGATAAATAAATTGCTGAATGAATCACTAGCATAGGTAAAAGTAACGACATTCGAGCTTTAAAAATAGTATACGAACAGTACGTATATTAAAAAAAGAATACAGTAGACTCCTGATTATCGAAACAGTCGGGACCGGAGCCTTTTCGGATAATTGAAAGTTCGGTTAATACGGAGTTTTTTTTTTGTAGAAAGAAAAACATACACACATAGAACAAATATTGTATTAAAATTCTATAAAAAAAGATGTACATACATATTACATACCTAAGTAATAATTTGTACACATACCTAATATAATTATGAGTTATGACATAAAAAAAAACAATTCTCGACTGTTTTAAATGCTTCGGTTATTGGACGCAATGTTCCTCCACCGTGTTAACAGTAAAATGTCACTTGCTGTGGCCGCAGACTGTTGTTCTAGGTAAAATAATGCAAATTTCTCTTAGAACTCAAGTTAATTCTGACAAAATACAAATTTTTATTAATTCCAAAAACTGCACGTGCAAATTTCGTATAATCGGGAGTTGGTTGAGTCGAAACTTGTTGCGGTTAAAACGGCGGATCTAAAATTTCCGTTCGTTTCGGATAAACCGGCATTTCGGTAAATCGGGATCCGGATAATCGGGAGTCTACTGTATTTGCTTATGTGGAAAAACATTCATTGAAAGTGTTAAGTAAAAATAATGTACGTTTACAACCAAAAATATTTTTAATATGCTTATTTCAAACGTTTAAACAATTAATTAAATATAAGACATATCTCTAAACATGACAGGTAAATAAAGAACTAAATTAAACAGGAATTTAGTAATTTGTTTCTAAAATTAAAAGTCATAAATAAGTGCTGTAACTTATTATAACAATTAAATTAAATTCTGACTTGAAACTTAAATTTATATTTTTATTGTAATGAAATCGTAAACCATAAAATCAATTTATCAATAATAATATTAAAAGGTTTATAAAATAAAATATTTTCTAAACTATTTTGTAAGTAATTTATTATAACATAATGTTTATTTTTACAGGCCCCAAACAGACATTGTAGAGACATTAGAGTTATTGCATTATTAGTACAACAAAATTATAATTACAAATTATTCAAAAAAGTTAAACATTGTACTTAAAACAAAAAAATTAATCTACAGGATGTTCCGTTTCCATTGTTACAAATTTAAACAGGATATTCAATTTTAAGACAAACATGTATCGAAAAATGCTACGCAAGGGAGCTACACCCCCTCAAAAAGGTGCGTCTGTTAATGACGAATTCAAAGATAAAATGTTGAAATTTTTAATCAAGGTCTTCCTAAACT